AAACCGTGGAACAGAGGTGGAAGGGAACACAGCATTCTTGTAGAGCAGACAATTCTCTTTCGAATGGTATATGACACGATGTAAAAGCATGGGGATTTAGATGAAAATTTTTTGGTTGAAAAAAAGCGACACTATTTATGAGACAACCTAATACATTCGCGGGGACAAGGAAAGTTCTACTGAGCGGACAAAACGTGACATTTCAGCGCAGCAATTTCTTGCCTTTCACACACACCCCTAAGCTTCGGAACACTCAGTAGTAGAAGGACACCAAGATCAGGGTATCCTCAACGATGCCCTGTCATCCTTTTCAGAATCTCAACTCTCGGATTGTATAGGTAAGGCTAAGCCATGTTTGTTTTATGTTTAGTTATGTTATGATGTTATTTCTCTACTACACTTTCTCTCGTGTGAGCCGCTGAGGCTCAAGCCGATGGACAATGATGACGTCAGCATAGAAGATCAACCAAACGCCCCGCCACGCTCTTATCACTTCCAGTACCGCCCCTCCACGTGCATATGAAAGACCGGTACTCCGCCATTGTCAGTTCAGTTGACTTCACTAATAAAGTTTGTGGTCGAGAGTCGGGTTTTCCTCAAGCACTGTGGAAGCTGCAACCGGCCTAAAAGAAAGCGGCGAGCCCGCGATACACGAGGGCCCAACCAAAGAACCGGGCACAGATAATCGATACCGCCTGCGAGGCCGCTGAGAGCGGCCTAGGCGGGACCCCTGCCTGCTGATACGAAGACTACCTCCTAATCTGACTCGGCTCGACGGTCACGTGTTTCATGTAAGCCATGACGCTGCTCATGCCGTTCTAATCGGGGCGTGCCTATCCGTCACACGTGCCGATCGTTACGGTTCAGTTATCTAGGGACATTCTAGACGTAACATTGCACTAAGCCTGTAAATCCGTGTGGGGCAAGTGAAACGGCAGATCAGATAAGCTTCCTCAGCTGCCGATCAGATAAGCTTTCTCGCAGGCTTACTATGTCGTCTTCTGTTAATATTAACCCAGAAGATCTGGAGAGTCTACTGCTGAATGAGCGCACAACAGTAGAACAGTTAGGTCAGTGAAATGTTAAAGAGGTGGACAGCCTCGCAGCCAAGGAAATGCCACAGGTGCGTACTTCAAGTGAAGTTATTGCAATGAGGTTGGCAAGTTTGCGAGAGTGCCCTGCACAAATGCTGCAGGGGGTTATGGCTAGAACCGCGGAAGCAGACATCAGACATATTTTCTCGTGTGAGCCGCTGAGAGCCGCCGCTAGATGACATAATAAGCTCAAGGATTTT